AAGATACTGGGAAATAGTGAAATAATGCGTATGTTCAAGATATGGGCAAAGGGAAAAGCATGAGAAGGACACATTCAGGTGTATGAATCGCAAAATTAAAAGTTTCAACAGATGCAGTAAAAGCCACAAGTAACGAAGAATATCAACAGAATTGAAAAACGAAAGGAACAGTAGCTTACTAGGAGAGAGTGAAGCCGGTATGAAGATTGCCGAAGTCTGACGAAGGTTGCAAGAGTAACAGAGAAACGAAAGCTTCACCAGAAAAACGAACGAAGACAACTGCGGAGCTTGGAGCTTGAGCAATGGCGGATTTGAAAGAAAAAGTTTAGAGAGAGAAAAAGCAAGAGAAATCAGATACAGAAGTGGAAAAGTGAAGAAAGGGGGAAAGATTTTGTCAAAAATGAAAATGGCGGCAAAAAAGTAATCAATACGCCTAGAAGAACGCATACGTCAGACGGCGCACGTGAGATAGAGACGGCTTACAGGCGCGTCACAAGCACGAACCAGTGAGAAAGAAACGCGTGGTTAGAAACGGTTGAATTATGGTGTATGACAGCTCATACGCGTGGAAGGGTTCTTGGAATTCTTGTTTTTCAATAAAAGGATATCGGCTAAAATAATGACCTCGGCTGAAGTACTGAAACCGACGTACTGGAAGAACAGAATGATATAGGTTCCATCACCTCAGAATGCTGAGGTAATAGAACCTAGGGGGCAGTTGTGGGGATATATTTTATGAGTACCAACACGCGGCAAGGTGACGCCGACGTGTCAGCCGAGGTGCCACGTGTCCTGGTCATGATGCCGAGGTTATCTCGGCTAGGCCGAGGTTATCTGCGAGGATACCAGAATCTGAGATAAGCGGATATGAGACAAGAGTCCTAGATTTGGAAAAGACTTCAGTTTGGGTAAAGATAAGACTCTTAGAGAGTTTATCCTAATCCCATTGGGAGTCCTAGATTAGCAGTAATCCTAAGTCCATTAGGGCTAGGCTCCTATTGGGACTAGGATTGTATTGGCTATAAAAGAGAGGCACCCTCATGGGTCTAAGGTATGCAATTTATGCTTTAAGTTGTGAGTTTAGCACTTGATTATCTTGGAGAGATATACTGACTTGATCGTTGGAGTACCCCCGGGTGGAAGAGCCACTGCCGGAGCCTTTTCTTTCTGTTGCAGGTTAACTGAAGCCATCTATCTGCCAGTGCTCTCTAGCTGATTACTAAACGGGCAGTGTGACTAGAAGATTACTCACACAAAAGTAATTTTTTTGGAATGATCTGAACCAATGAATTTTTGTAAAATGAATCTTGACCATTATAAGGAGGGAGTGAAGTAGATAAAGAAAGGAGGGGATCCTTGCTCCCAATACAGTCCCTCTCTTTGAATTTTTTTAAAAAATTAATTATATATTTTTAACATAATTATATTTAATTTATTGGGTTTAAAATTTTTAAAAATAATTTTTTAAATTTTCAATTCGTATATTTTTATTTTACATATATTTTTTAACATTTTAATTAATTTTTTTTCCTTTTGCCTTTTAGATTCACTTAATCTAAATATACTTTAAAAAACAAATTTGTACAAAAATCTTAAAAAATTAATTAAATACAACAAAATATTAAAATGTACTTTTGTATTTTATTGTATTCAATAATTTTTTAAAATAATTTTGTACAAATTTTCTACCTTTTTACTTTTAAGTATATATAGATTAAGTAGATTTAAAAAGTGAAAAAAAAATTTGATTAAAATGTGAATTTTTTTTATTAAAAATAAAAAAATACGGATTGAAAACTTGGTTTTTTTTTTTTGAAATTTTAAACCAAACAAAGTGATTTTTTTTGAAATTTTAATTCTCAGAATAGTTAAATAATTTTTTATCAATTATTTCATATGAATAAAAATAATATTATTATAGATTTTAACTAATATATATATATCTCTTTTTGTTTGTAGTGTCTATTCATTATGTACATTAATTTTATAGTCCCTTTAGTTAATCAAAAGAAAAATCAGCATAATCATGTCAATAACATGAACTAATTGTATTTTTTTTTTCTAAGTTCACGCAGGTAATTGTAGTGTCAGCTAGACAATTTCAGTGGTGTATATGGGCTGGGTCAGATTGAGGCCCGAGTTGGACATAATGCTAATCCAAACTATATGGGCCAATGTTGGGCCCAAATCTCAGGGTCTAGGATTTCTTTTGTTGGACCTGAGCTAGCCCCAACAAACTCATATCTAATGCCAGAGCAACAACCCTTAAATTTTTCATATTTTTTCTATTATGCTTCAATGCATCCCAAATTGGTTCAATGTGCCCCTACTTTCACTTTTTTTGAACCGAAAAAAATGATGCTATGACGTGTTATCATTATATCCATGGACTCAATTTCCGGGATAACCGCTTGATGACTTGATTTAACCTAATCCATAAGAAGGGACTCACCACTAAAACATTTTTAGATGTTTAATATATATAGAACCTCACTAAAAGGTAAATTATTAAAATTATTTTTTCAATATGAAAGTAATAGAACCAACAGTCCTTTCATCATCAACATAGATTTCTAAGGTCGTTAATGGATTTAATTTAATTTTTTTTTTTGTATACTAGCAAAAATGATTTTGAGATTAATTCTATCAATTTATCATCTTCTTTCATTGACAGAGGTTAGGATTTGGTTCTTGTAATGACTTCAATAAGTTAAAAAATGATCATAATCCATAAGCTTACATTTGTTAGAGAAATGTGTAAATTTACTTGTCTCAACAAATCAAATTGACGAAAAATAACCCCCTTTTTGAGACAACTTTTTAAATAAAAATTGATGATTAAGTTATTTTGTAATTTAACTAGAAGTTTATAAGTTTACTATCATAATCGAAAATAAAGTAGCTGAAGTGGGTTTTTCATGTCAAATGTGGGTACAATTTATCCAAAAAAAAAAAACTAAAAATTCATAAAAATTAGAAGAAAAAAAAAGGCCAATAAAATAAAGAAAACAACTCACAAAAATAGTTAAGAAATTAATGTCCATGGCATTTTTTTTTTTCCTTTTTGAGGATCCTGATTCTTTTTTAATGAATCTCTCACCAATAATTGTACTGTGATAATTCATTGAATTAAGTTTAAAATTAAAATAAAATTACATTATTTTACGACATGTTATTATTACTTTTGTATAAAAAAAGAACACAATATTTTAATATCATTTTACTTTGATTTTAAACTCGAAAAGTTTTATATATTTTACTAAAGCACTGGCTTCCCTGCAGTCCAAGCTTGTGCCTTAGGCCCCATATTTTGGCCCAAAAATAGGGCTCCAAATTTTAAAAATTGTTATAGGTTCAACTTATTATTATTATTTTTTTTTGGTTTTAAGATTAATTTAAAGGGCTCCAAATGTTTTATTGGGCCCATGTATAATTTAGTCCACATTTATTTATAAATGTGTTTGGCCCATATTTATTAAAATGAAAATATATAAATAAATAAATAAAAAACAATAGGGCTCCTAAATTCGGTAAAATATATAAACATATATAACATGGGGCCTAAAAATTGGGCCCCTAAATTTGGTAAAATATTATAGGCTCAATGTTTTTTTTTTTTTTGGTTTTAGGATCAATTTAAAGGGCCCTAAAATATTTTTTTGGGTCCATGTATGATTTACTCTATATTTATTTATAAGTGTAGTTTGGTCCATATTTATTAAAATGAAAATATATATTAAAAAAAAAGTGTTTGGGCTCAAGAAAAATAATACATACAATATATGGGCCTTATTTTTTTTATTTTTTATTTTTACCTTCTTTATCTATTAGATTTTAGTGGAATAAATAATTTTGCTCAAATTTTTTTACCTAGGTCTTTATCAATTTTAATTGAATAATTTTTTCCTAATTTTTTTGTTCTAATTTTGTTTTATTAAATTGTTTTATTTATAATTTTAATGATTATATGTGTAAGTAAATTTTTTTATGGTTACAAACAAATAAAAAAATTGTAACTTATCGTTTTATTCATGAATTTTTTTTCAATATAAAAGGGCCCCAATTTCCGAAATTCGCCTTAGGCCCCGACGAACTCAGGGCCGGCCCTGCTTCAGTCTCGGATCGGACTAGAGAGTATTGTTGGGTTCGTGGGAGCTCATCACGGGTATTTTTTTGATAATTCGAACCATTAAATGTGTAGAATTCATTGAGTACTATATGGATGTAAAAAATCACGTTAATCGGATATCGATAGCTACGTGATCAAATCAGTTTTGTATAAACAAAAATAAATGGTGAAAAATAAACGCTTGACAGAAAACTGATCCAATGAGATAGCTATCGATATCCGATTAACGTGAACAGGCATATAATATTTGACGAGTTATACACATTGAACGATTCGGATTATCGAAACGAGATCCGTGATAAACCTCTATAAATCCAACAATATCCTCTAATTCTATGTGAGACCGGTGAAAAGCCAGACCTTACTAACTTGTCTGGTTGTAATGCAAATGACAACGATAACTGTAGTTCCTCATCTGTCATACAATTGAGAGGGTAATTTTTTGGAAAAATTGGGCCGAGCTTCGAGTTGGGCTTTGGGGCCCAAAACGCAAAGGACTAAGTAAAAAGGCCGTAATGGATACTCCGGCCCAATTAGGTGAGATTACTCCGGCTCAAGAAGAGATAGTTGCGTCGGCCCAAGGAAGAGTAAAGCTACTCCGGTCCGGAGACAACTCGGAGTTAGGCCGGTCTCAGAGTTAGTCCGGTCCTATCTGAGACCGGTGAAAAGCCATACCTTACTAACTTGTCTGGTTGTAATGTAAACGACAACGATAACTGTAGTTCCTCATCTGTCATACAATAGTGCTGTTAAAAAAAATAAAACAAATGACATGTCCATAACAGTCATGACAGTAGTTCCTCATCCTTCATACCATAAAGTCATCTGTCCATTCACAGCAAAAAAAACCACTGTCCATTCATCTAAAAAATATACAACTTAACAAATTTGGCCCTGATTTAAGAAAACTTCTTAGTTCTATTGCAAAATCGGCCTCATATATCAGAGGGCAAAATAGTCCAATAACCAATATTGACAGTTTTTACCGTTACAACAAATCATATAGGCCTCAATGGACCTCATCTACGAAAACAACGGTTTAGCCAATGATTTGGTCAAAAAACAAGAAGCAATTCAAACTCTCTCTCTGTCTCTAACCCTTTCTCTTGCCTCATCTCCACCTTCATGACCAAACACTCAATCCACAAACCATGAAAATCACACAAATTCACACAAAAATCAACCACAAATTCACAATTCACCGGTGGGTTTTTCCCGGGGAGACGTAAATTAACGGGGAAGAAGTGAAGTAATGGCCATTGTTCATGTTCTTGGATTGTACATCCTATGTTTCTACATATTCTTGATTGTGACACCAATGGGTTGTTATTCAGTTTCTGATTCTGAAGCTCTGCTCAAGCTCAAGAAATCGTTTACCAACACTACTGCCATCGACTCATGGGCCTTGGGATCAAGTCCTTGCGTCGTAAACAAGACATGGGCTGGTCTCAATTGTGAGAATGGATTGGTAAGCATTCTTCGTCTCGAAGATATGGGTTTGTCTGGGAAAATTGATGTTGATGCTCTGCTTGGATTGGAGGGTCTTCGTGTAATTAGTTTACAGAACAATGCTTTTTCGGGTTCTATGCCGGAATTGAATCGTTTGGGTTCTTTAAAAGCCATTTTCTTGTCGAACAATCGGTTTTCTGGTGAAATTCCCGCGGATTTCTTCGAAAAAATGCAGTCTTTGAGGAAAGTGTGGCTTGGGATGAATAATTTCAGGGGTCGAATTCCGGAATCATTGGTTAAACTTCACAATCTAGCAGAATTACACCTTGAAAACAATCATTTTTCCGGGCCAATTCCATCCTTAGAACAACCTTCGTTGAATTTGCTTGACTTATCGAATAATAGCCTGGAAGGCGAAATCCCAGCGAGTTTATTGTCATTCGATATGAGAGCATTCCAGGGAAATGTAGGGCTTTGTGGTCCGAAGATAGGTAATGCATGCAGTCTAGATGCTAAAATGCCTCATCCAACACCGTCACCAAACTCCGACAATGCTGACCCTAACGAGTCAAACAAGATCGCCGCCGGGCTCATGACAACCACTGTGGTTATTCTCTCCGTCATGATCGTGGCGATCTTCGTGCTCAAGCGGAGGCAAGAGAACTTCAATTTGCTCGAGAAGGAAAATCTTGAGGAGACATTGGAGGTACAGTTGGTACACAAACTGATGCTGTTTGGTACAGTTTACAAAACTGCCTATAAATTTATGAAAAATGAGTTAGACCCTCTTTTGTGGAGGACCCCACGACCCCCTCACTGATCTATACCACTCATGATGTGTGGGGTCCACTCATGTATATGTGGGGTCCACATCATGAATGGTGTAGATCACAAAGGGGTTGTGGGGGTCCTCCACAAAGGGGGTCCCTATCATTGCTGTAAATTTATTTATTTTTATTTTTATTTTGAAGATATACGTTAGTCTATTCAGTGCAACTTCTGATGATCAGGCACAATATATGCTATTTTAATATTAAAATGATTTCTTATTCATCGTTTTGATATGTTATTACACTAACTAACAGGTTCGCGTGTCAAGTGTAAGTAAAAAGGATATGAACTCGAGTCGAAAAGGCATGGGGTCGAGTAAGAGGGGGTCCCACAACGGGAAAGGTGGCGGGGCCGACCTCGTGTTGGTGAATGAAGAGAGTGTTGTGTTTGGGTTGACGGATTTGATGAAGGCAGGGGCAGAGGTGCTGGGGAATGGGTCGTTGGGGTCATCGTACAAGGCGATGATGACGAATGGGATGACAGTGGTGGTGAAGAGGATAAAGGAAATGAACAAGTTGGGGAAAGAAGGGTTTGATGCAGAGATCAAAAGGCATGGCAGGTTAAGGCACCAGAATGTGTTGCCACCGTTGGCTTACCATTATCGGAAAGATGAGAAGTTGCTAGTCTCTGAGTTTGTTCCCAAAGGAAGCTTACTCTACCTATTGCATGGTATGAATCTAACTTTTAGCCTTTTACATAACTTTATGGCTATAACTAAGTTTTTATTTTTATAATTTTTTTTTTTTTTTATAAACTGGTGTGACTTTAAATGATTAAACTTTTTAATAAAATATTGTGCAAAATTTTTGATATTTTTTTTTAGAATCCATAACATTTTTGCTTTTGTTTTTAAGAAATATAAGCTTTTCAAAAGTCAAATGAAACTTAATTAGTTTCCAAGTCAATTCAAATTTTGTCAATAGGGGCAATGGCGATATTTGTTTGTTCAACTAGATTAAGTGAAATTATCTAGAATGTCCTTAGTTAAGAGAGAGATTAATTGAATCATATCTTGTCTTGTGTTTGATTTAAATCACTAGACATGGACCATATAATAAACATAGTTCAAGAATATTTTGATAAAGGTCCTGTTTGTTTTCAGAGATAGAATGGAGGGGATTGATAGTGATGGGATTAATAGTGAGGAATTGTTAAATTATTTTTATATAAAATAATAAAAGAAATAAAAAATTTTAAAAAATTTAACATTAATATTTTAAAAAAAATTCTCAATATATAAAAAATAAAAAAATTTCTAATCTCCTCACTATTTTTCTAATACCATCTCTACCTCCTCAGTATGAATCCCCCTTCCAAGGCCTTTACTAATACCAAGGTATTAGTAGTCCCCTCCTCATCTCTCAAAACAAACACCCCATATAATAGTTTCACCTCACTATTAATCCCAATCCCCTTCTTATAACTCCAAACAAACGACGCCAAATTTGTATCCTTTTAGTTCACTCATTTTGTATCACCTACTCCCATAAGACTCAATAGTCTCCCATGTGTGGGCTATATAATCCGAAAGACTCTCAATTCAAAAGTTCACTTTTGTATCCAAACTTAAAATTTAGAATTGACTAGGTTACTAGTCCAATCCTCTAACCTAATCCCCAAACAAACAAAGCCTTGCTTCCAAATCTTTTCTTTCATATGATGAAAGGTTTCTTGACATTGTAATTAGTGAATGCAATCACATATCTGATATACCCTTACAACTTGCTGAGAATCTTCTGTTCTATTCTCTCGTCATTTTGTCTCAAACTCCTTATCTACCACAAGATCGAAGTCATAAAGATAAATTGTGTGGTACAAAAGTGATTTTGGACAAAGAGAAGTAGAACAGATGATCCGATTCCTCCACAATGTTATATTTACATCCTTCTCTTCTTACATGTCCTCAAAAACACCTATGATTTCCAATAATAACTCTAATTTTTTAGGTGATCGCGGACCGAGCCATGCGGAGCTCAACTGGCCAACCCGTCTAAAGATTGTTCAAGGAATTGCCAGAGGATTAGGCTACCTCCACACTGAGCTAGCTTCCTCCGACTTACCTCATGGCAATCTCAAATCAAGCAATATTCTTGTCAGCCCGGACTCTGAGCCATTGCTCGTAGACTATGGATTCAACTCATTGGTAAGCAACCCACAAGGCATTCAATCACTGCTTGCCTACAAGTCCCCAGAAGCCATTAAAACCCAAGAAGTTTGTCCAAAATGCGACGTTTACTGTCTAGGAATCGTAATCCTGGAAATCCTCACCGGTAAATTCCCTTCCCAGTACCTCAACAACGGGAAGGGAGGGACCGATGTGGTCCAGTGGGTGAGATCGGCCATTTCAGAGGGTAGAGAAGCTGAAGTACTTGATCCGGAGATCACAAACTCGAAAAAATCAGTGAGGGAGATGGAAAGGCTACTCCATATCGCTGCAGCGTGCACAGAGAGTAATCCTGATCAACGGCCAGAAATGGGAGAGGTGGTTAGAAAGATTGAGGAGGTGCGAATTGAGGGTGATCATGAGGCTAGAACGATTGAAGTGTTACCGTCACTGAGAGATGGGTATGCTGATCAAACGTATAATAATGCACACGTAGCGAATGTGCAGGAGGGCTACGGTGGGGTGTTGGGGAGGAGATATGACGGGTCTGGAGACCGATCAACGTTTAAAAATAATGATAGCTTTGCATTTGACATATCCTGATTGGGTGGTGTTTGGAAGCTAAGGCATGGCATGGAATGGAAATCCCAGAAACAAAATGTTTTCTTGGAACTGGAAAGAAAGAATATGATGAGGAAATGAAATTCTGGAGAGAGAGAGAGAGAGAGAGAGAGAGAGAGAGAGAGGAGCAAGGATCCTCTAGAGTGATTTTTTCCTAAAGTTTTCTAAAGTGTTACATTGTGTGGTTGAGATTTACTAGCAAGTTATATCAATTTTTCTGATGTGACTTGTCAGTAAATCTCAACCACACAATGTAGTACTCTAGGAAACTTTAGGAAAATTTCACTCTAGAGGATCCTTGGTGGAGAGAGAGAGAGTGTTTTAGGCTCCGTTAGGCTTAGTTTTAAAATCATGATTTGATTTGAAAGGGTAAAAGGATAAGAAGTACTGTGTGTGTATATATACTGTAATTCAATGTATATTCGACTTCTGAATTGGCTAATGTGGATTGTAATTACATGCTTGTTTTTAAAAGAAATACATTGCCTCAAAGGGCTAATAGAACAGAGATACACCGTAATGAAATTTGTTGTATTTTATGTACTGGGAAAGTGTAGTAGAAGAAGTTCATTAGTACCATAGTTTGCTTGTTTTGTAATACTTTCGTTTACTGCATTTTGCTTTTATTGGATAATCTTCAATGTAAAAAATAAAACTGAAACAAATAAAATAAAATATAGACATTTTTGCTCTAGAAAATAAAAACATCAAAACTATGATCAAGTTGAATGTGTGACATTTTATCCTTAAGATAAATTTACTGCCATACAGGTGCTCGCGGATTAATGACTTCTATCTCTCAGGATACAATAATAAAAAATCATAGATTGTAGTAACACTACAAACAATCTGTCAAGCGAACTAGACTTGAGTTCTGCAACTCTCTGAAAATTCTATGAACTAATATGAAGAACAAATGCAGAAGGAAAGAAAACGAAAAGAAAAGAATGAATTGAATCTGCTAGATAATTCTTTATTTATAGGCAAAGAGGTGTCTGTTCAGGAAAACTCTTCAAAGAGGTGTGAAATTTGAATTATCAAAAAATGAAGAGAGGCGATTGGAGAGGCATGGTTTCGAGAAGGCAGAATTTGAATTCGAATATTTTTCATAAAATTGAATTAATTCGTTAGGAATTTCAAGAATTTGAAAAAATTTAAATGAATTTTGTCCAAAAAATTAAAGTTAGGACCCATCCCACAACATGCACCCGGCACTGCTTGACCGTGCGCGTGGTTGATTTGGGTCAAGCCCACTTTGTCCATAACTCCCCTTCTTTCAAAACTTGGGATGCCTCTTGAGGCCCATTCTAAGTATGTCAACCTAGAGCCCAACTCTTTTATTGTTTCTATGTGAGATAATCAAAGCAAAGTAACCTACATTTGTCTCTTCAATTTCCTATCTCACAAAATTGAAAATGACGTCAACTTCTCATTCACCCATAAATGGTTTTGACGAATCATCTTTTCCGTGTGACTTACCATGCGACAGGGAATACGTCACCACTTGGATCCACCTCAAAAGATGTGTGAGTCCCATTTAAATTTGGGCTCAAAGTTGGCCCCAAATGAGCCTACAAAACCAAAATTTCCAACAGCTTTTGTTTTGTATATTATTTCTGTTTTTTTTTTAAAGTAAAATTAAATCTAAAATTTTCAAAAATGAAAACAAAAAAAAAATATTTTCACTTGTTTTCAAAATAATTTTTCATCCACTGCAACATACTGACATAAAAAACAAATATAAATACCTATTTGTCAATATAAAAAAAAATAAGGGCCTAAAAGGAAAAGAAAAAAATTAATGCTTGTCCCCATTTGTCGATCTTATTAGAGAAATGTTTTGGACCTGCTTTGGGGATGACCCCTACAAGCCCAAAGTGTTCCTGACCCTCCATATATGTGTGAGGCCCACTCATATATGTATAAGGTTGATATCATGAGTTGTTCAAATTTGTAGAGATTTTGTAAGAGTGGAGGTCTCAATCATTATTCATTTTCTAATAAGGGATTTATAGGCATAAGATTTTACAGAGGTAGAGGCACAATAACCACAAAATCAACAAGGTTATAATGAAAAGGATTGAATTGCTTGTCAAAGCACAAGACTTCCTCATCAGTAAGGTGTAATTTTTGGTTGATAGAAAGGATTGAAGGAGGATCAACCTAACAGCTTTTTTTGAATGTGACTAAAGAGTCCCGACCCGAATAGCTATGGAGCTAGGCATGGACTTAAATGGGCGTAGGGGAACTATAGGAACGCCCTCAAGATGAGCTTGAACTATAAATTAATTCGACCCCAACCCCACCATGTCCTAGCAAGCGGATACTAGGAGTAGAGTTTGATGGAAACCGCTTCGCCTCCATGAATACTCGGACTCAAAGCTGCTCGTTCACTAAATTCAACGGGAGTGAACTTTTGCCTGCTAGGTTACCATCCTTGGTGGCCAGTAAAGTTCAATTTACAAGAAATTATTCAATTCTTTTAGGATACGTTCAGTGATGTTCCAAATTGATAAATTATTAGGCCAAATAACATGAAAAATATCTATTAATAAGTGAATTGGAACATTATATTAAGAACATCTAATAAAATTATTTTTTAAAAATTTACACACATTATTGTTATGCCTAAAAAAATAATTGATACTTCCAAGTTCCAACTCATTGGCAGTGCAAAAAATACGAGTCAACCCTTCTCTAACGTACATCATATGATATAGCCATTAATTACAGCTGGAGCCGATATATGAATATTTGGATAGGTCCACATATAATGGCTCCTAACCTGGAAAGCAACAATAAACTTTGAACTGAAAGTCCCACATTAATAAAATAAACGAAGAACAGTGATGTCAGCTCTACATATTGGCTTGGCACTTCTAGCAATGAAAAAATTAATGAAGCTAAAGATTAATCATTATTTTTAATCTGAACATGATTTGGATGTTTTTATGAGATTTCAAATAAAAAGCCAACTGTATTTTCTTTTCTTTTCTTTTTTTCAAATCATACAATACAAAAAGAAAGGTTTTGCCACCATTTTATAAATCCCACGAAAAGTCTTCCCAGCATTTCAGAACAATTTCAAAAAAAATTGGTGCCGGGAAAATTTCTAGGCAAAATGATTGAGCTCTAAATTGTGAGTTTTAAAAGTGCTCTAAATTGTGGGTCACACTGTCTGATGTGATATTTTGTTTTTTTTTTTGGTTGCCACATCAACACAGCTCTTATTGGAGTTATATTATTAGAGTTCTGAATCACTACTCAATTTTTAATATTTATTAAATGTAAGGAAAATTAGTATTTCTTTTTCTATTTATGATTTTAGTTGGAATGCAACGGGACTATTTGGTGTAACTTTTGTTAAGCAAAAAACTGATAAGTGCAAAATATAAGCTAAAAGCACTCTTTTCTAGCTTAAACAGTTTACTTAGGTTATTTAGAGCATTTCCAACGGTGACTCAAAATTTTCACCAAATTTGAGTCAAAAATGACCCATTTCACTAAATTGATACCACTCGCTCCAACGGTTCACTTTTCACCAAATCTATCCCGGGACAATCGGGTGGTCGACCGGCCGGTCGACTGGTTAGGCAAATTTTTTTTAAAACGAGATTCATGATAGACCTCTACAGACCTAACAACATGATCCAATCCAGTCCAATCCCGAACTGAACAGAAGCCATGCCCACTTCGAAACCATCCAAACAAATCATGCGAAGACACTGCTACAACGTCATTACATAATAATAATAATAATAATAATAATAATAATATAAAATGATACATCACACGTAGCTTAGCTCTTTTCAACGGTTAGTAACAGTGATTTGGTAAAATCTGTGTCTCGTTCTCAGTTTGATATTTTTTTTGCTGAAATCTCATTTTGATATCAATTTGGTGCAACGGTTGAAACTTGAAAAAGTAAATTTTTCATCAAAATTTGAATTTGATACTGGGTTTGATTCACCGTTGGAGATGATCTTACGCACTATAAATTATAGCAAAAGTTATATCAATCGTATTAACACAAACTCAGAAAAAAATATTAATATATTATGCGAGACTGTTTGTGCACTTTTCGTTCACGACTTAAAGCCTAAATTAAGTCAAGTTAGAAAAAAATAATTACCTCGAAATTAGGGGAGAAGAGTTTTTTACTTCTATTTTTTAATTATCAATTTCAACCTAAGTTATATATATATGAGCAATGATACATTCTTCTAATTTTGAAATTTTAATTGAGCTCTAATGATGTGACAGAAAATAAAAAAATAATAAAAAATAAAATTAAAATCAAAACATCACATCACAATAAAATTCACGCTCATTAAAACTCATTAGGATTTCTTTATTAGAATTTCCAATCATTTTTTCTATATAAACAGGTTAAACATTTTCTTATCATGATTTGTCAAAAAGATTCTTAAAAAGTCAGTGAAAAAGTCAGTAAATGCATATTTTAATAACTTTTTTTATTTTACTGATAAAAAATTTTAAAAAAAAAAAAAAAAGTTCAGTGAAAAGGAGGCTGAGAGCACCTTCCTTCTGATTTTCGTCGGAGAGTTTGAATTGCAGCCTCACATCTTCCACGAAAGCCGCAACCATTTGCATGCGACCTTCATATTTTGTTTTTCTTTTCTTGTCTATATCCCAAAAGAGAAAAAAAAATTATAATAATTAATAAATACTCACTCTGCACCACTCGTGCAACTCTTAATTTAGGTTTCCACTCTCTTGTATTTATGAATACATGTAGGCACTAAATGGTCACAAAATTCCTAGGAAAAAGTGGTCAAGCATATACATGCATGTGAATAAAAATCTTTGCGTTTAGGCTACGAAATTTAGGTAAAGATTTTAAAAGAAAAGATAATTGATATGAGAGATGCGATTAAAATTTATGATACATGCATGTGATATATTTTTTTCATTTCTCTCCCATTTTTCTCTTTATTTCTAAATTATGATATAAATTTATGATTGAAACACAAGTTGAATGTCTATTAATGTATACTACATGAACTCTTACAAACTTGAGCATTTAAGTTGATATGTTTCAAATAAATATTTTTTGATACAACTTATTATAAATTAAAAATTAATTATCCAAAAACAT